TGTATGATAGTTATCGTTCCACATTTGATAGTAGAATTTCAGTATGTATGGGCTCTGAAACTGGCAATTGATGGAAAATTCTTCCCATTTAGGTAAATGTACCAGTATTTAACTAGCAAAAAAAATTCTGTTGTCAGGGAATTCTGTTCTCAAGCAGTAAGGAGGATCATTTCTCATTCCTGTCCCCTGCTACCTATGAGGAAAATAAGCAGGTGCAAAGAAAACAAAAATAAAATCAGACTATCCTTTGGTTTCTTTGTTACGCAGTAGTGTGATGGAATGCAGAAGACTCCAGGAGACCAGAACATGAACTTTTGTTGCTGGTAGCAGCAGCTATAACAGTGCTAGTGCTATTAGTATCACTGCCAATTTAGAGAGCTAGTAGAATTTGCCATACATAACCCTTGGTGCCTTTCAAGGTGAATTGAAAGATGAGTGAAGAGAAATGGGAGAGAGTGAAAGAAATGTTACAGCCAGTGGCAAAACATCTGTGGTGAAAGGGTACAGAGTACCCTCACCTAATATCCTGACTTGTAAATGAGCCCTCAATCTTACTGTTCTTTGTAGCTACACATGGATACAACTTGGGAAAATTATACAAGCAGTTGTGAATGTCCCCCTGCCATAGTTCCTGCTACAATAAATTTAGATCATTGTTCAGCCTACAACAGAGCCTAGCCATGTTAGCTGCCGCACACACACATGTAAAAGTAAATCCCTTTCCCACTGTCCTCGCACCTGAGGCAAGATAGTAAATGCTTGTTGCCAAGTTGCTTCCTGCAAACCAGATACACATTTTGAGCAGTGTCTAGAAAGAGGAATTGGCTTTCGTTTCATTTGGCCAGCTTTCAGGTGTGAAGTAGCCACTTAAATAACTGCACATTGGCATCATGGATTCTGTCTTCACTGGGAAACTGAATAAGAAGCTCAGACATCTGGTACTGCTTGGCAGATTGTCACAACACTACAGGACAGAGCTACTGTAGTGAAAGCAAGATACTGCACTGGCTGTCTGAAAAGGTCTGCTTGTCTTTCTTTCATTCCTAAAAACCCTGGGGATTTTCTAGACTCCTGTCTTCTAGTCCAGTGGATCCTAAACTGGAAACTTTAAATGGCACTATACATAATATTCAGTCACAGGTATGAGGGCTAAAACCATAATAGATGCTTAGAAAGTCCAGTATTATTTTCTTCTTCTTTGATAAGAATCTGCATTCAAAATGTTGCTTAATAATGCCACAAACCCATCTCTGCATTCTTAAAACAGTAAGTATGAAGAGATAACAGAAAGCCCCTTCAGCACCTATTAAAACCTCCCTTCATCCTCTCCTGACCTCTCAAATGCCCAAGAAAGACTAGTAGGATTGAATATTTCATCAAGGAAGCATATTAGATTAAGATGTCCTTCTTTAAAAGATTTGACATTATTACCAAACAAGAAAAACAGAAAATAAACTCTCACAGATTAAATGTAAAAATCCTGTAGGATAGGCCAATAAAAGTCTGAGGAACAATTCTCAAAAAGCTGTAAAATTAAGAGGAGCCTGACCAGATAGTCTGTAAGGCTAATAGGTTATAAAGGTGTAACAGAGCCCAAAAGGTAAGGCCACAGCAGAAAAGTTAGATGAAGATTTCACACCCATTTTTGGCATGTGGGACTCTTCATTATGCAGGAATTCAGGCAGAGTCCCACATTGAAACATGATAGCAAATATACCACAGTATTGTCTCAAATTGAAGTCTATGGAGAAAAAGGTTTTGGTCAGAGTGACATAATGCATAGTAACAAGAAATCAGGACCAGTGCTAAAGGAATTCAACTACAAAACAGCTGAAATAAGCATTGCAGGGCATAACCACTCACTTAAAATTGCCTTAGTGTTAACAAACATAATGTGCTTCCAGGCAGTACCCAGAGAACATCAGGGGAATAAGACCATACTGTGCAAAATGCTGTAGCAGTGAATAGGATTAGTGGGCATCTGGATAAACCCTGAAAAACTTTCAGTACTACCTAGGAACTCTACTCAAAAACCATGACCACGTTATGCCAAATACTGCAAAAGCACAGAGCCGATTGCTTCTAGCCCAAGCAACAAGCAGGGAAAGTACACAAAGACTGCTAAAGGAGAGATAGTAACAGACCTTTGTAGACCTTTTCAGTTGGATTTCTGAATGCTTGTATTACGGCTTATAAATTAAAAGTTTAACATAGACAGTCAAAAATAGAAATGCCAGAAGAAGAATCAGAAGAGACAGACACTGGCAAGAAAAGGAGCTAACTACAGAACACAGTTTTATTTGTATTGAAGTAGCCTCACACTAGTGATTAGATGCCTCAAGCAGCATTCCTCTGACCCTGACTCAAACCAAGTTGCCTATCTGTAGATATGACAGCCACATTTCTCTGCAACTTACCTCTGATTCTTGAAGCACTCACCACATGTTAAAGTTGCTTAAAATTTTAAAACATGTTAAAAATTCAATGTTATTATTTCTTCCCTCCCATTAAGTTTAAAAACATTTTTTATATACTACCATTGTATATACATTATTTTCAGCACGTTTTCTTTGGAGTGCTTTGGTACTCAGGACCTGGTCCACTGCACATGGTTGGGAGTCAATACTGTTACGTATCTGAGAAGAGCTGGTACGACGTTCCTGGAGGCAAGTAATGTCTCACAAATCTCTGCCAGTTCTCAGAAAGAGTCAAGGAGAGGTAGATGAATCTTGTGATTCATATATGATGTATATGAGCTACTTAGCTCTCCAGAAGACATTCATAAAGACCCCCTTGAGGAGCTGCCTTGACATAAGAGGAAACGCGTCGTATAGCTAGCTGCCTGACTACAGGGAACAACAAACGGTTAATTTTCACAAAAGAAAGGACTCACCAATGAAGTCCCCATAGAAGACATATACTCAGGCTTGTATGATTTGGCACATTCATAAATGTACATGGATATTGAAGTGATGAAGTTTAAATCATTCACACAAGTAAAAAGGAGGGCTGACCATGAGGAGATACAGAAGGACTTCACAATACTGTGCAATAAAAATTCAATAATGACAAATGTGAAGTAATGCCAGAAAAAAACATGAGAGAAACATAGTGGAGAGGAAAAGTCTTAAGAGTATTGTGTGCAGTTCTGGTGTCCTCAACATAAGAAGGACATGGACCTGTTGGAACAGTACAAGGTCCTACATCTGGGTCGGAGCAATCCCAGGCACAGCTATAGGTTGGGCAGAGAAGAGATCCAGAGCAGCCCTGCAGAGAAGGACTTGGGGATGTTGGTTGATGAGAAAGTGAACATGAGCGGGCTTTAGTGTGCCCTCACAGCCCAGAAAGCCAACCGTATCCTGGGCTGCATCAAAAGGAGCGTGACCAGCAGGTCGAAGGAGGTGATCCTGCCCCTCTACTCTGCTCTTGTGAGACCTCACCTGGAGTATTGTGTGCAGTTCTGGTGTCCTCAACATAAAAAGGACATGGAAATGTTGGAACAAGTCCAGAGGAGGGTCACGAGGATGATCAGGGCACTGGAGCACCTCCTGTATGAAGACAGGCTGAGGAAGTTGGGGCTGTTCAGCGTGGAGAAGAGAAGGCTGCGTGGAGACCTCATAGCAGCCTTCCAGTATCTGAAGGGGGCCTATAAGGATGCTGGGGAGGGACTGTTCACTAGGGACTGTAGTGATAGGACAAGGGGTAATGGGTTCAAACTTAAACAGGGGAAGTTTAGATTGGATATAAGGAGGAAATTCTTTACTGTAAGGGTGGTGAGGCACTGGAATGGGTTGCCCAAGGAAGTTGTGAATGCTCCATCCCTGGCAGTGTTCAAAGGCAGGTTGGACAGAGCCTTGGGTCACACGGTTAAGTGTGAGGTGTCCCTGCCCATGGCAGGGGGGTTGGAACTAGATGATCTTAAGGTCCTTTCCAACCCTAACTATTCTATGATTCTATAGGCATAACATAGCAGAGCTTTCTGTTGTATTCTGTTCAGTTCCAGTCCACCCTCTTCTGTTCTATTCCATTCCAGTTTATTGTGTTCCTTTCCCTGCACTCACAAGTTGTACAATGAAGAGATCCTTATTTACCTGAAATGCCAAGGGAATTTCAGCACCAAAATCACTTTCAAAGACATAACTCAGAATGGTTACAGGTAGAAAGAGTATTTTATTTATTTCTAAATAAAGTTATTTGGTTTAGTTTAGCTAGTTAATTTTAGTCTGGTTTAGTTTAGAGCCTTCAGTTTAGCTGGAAAAAGCCTCCCTTGCGGCCCGAGAAAGGAAAGGCAGGGCAGGAGCGGTGCCATGGTGGTGCGAGAGCAGTGCAAGAAGAACCCAGCCAGAAAGGGCCAGGGAAGACCTGACGAGGGGTGGTGCTCAATGCTCCAGAGGACAGCAGCGAGTCCCGGGGCCACGCTGGGGCCAGCCTGGGAGTGCAGAAGGCTGCCTACCCCCGGATGCGGGGCACGAGGGTCGCCTGCGTGGAGCACGATCAGCTGCCTTTGGGACACCGTGACCCAAAGGAGCCCCATGAAGGGGCTGTGCTCGGCTGCGGAGGAAGGCAAAAAACCCCAGGGACACTTGCTAGTCCAGCCTGGGGAGAAAAAAGCCCTTCCTGCCCCCCCTGCTGCAGGACACGAGGGGCCGCCTTCGTGGAGCATGAGCACCAGGCGATAACGCAGCCAGAATGGCCCCAGGAGCCCTGACAAGTGGTCATGCTCAGTGCTCAGAGGAAGGCAAAAAACCCCCGGGGACCGGTGCCAATCTGCCCCGGGGGAAAATTCCTTCCTGACCCCAGTGCTGGCGATCGGCTACTCCCTGAGCAAGTGAGCAAGACCTGCTCCCGCTCCACACGCTGTTACGCCTCTAAGGGGACAAGGGGACCCTGGCACTGCTTTTTCTGCTTCCACCTGAAGCCATCTCAGGGGCTTCCGATAACAGCAAAATGCCATTGGCCTGATGAATCCTCGGAGCACGAATCCTTCCTGTGCTTGGCAGTGGGGGAGGGCACTGAGCCACCGGTGCATCCTTTCTCTTCTGGCTACTGCCGCTCTCTCCCCAGGAGGTGAGGACGTCGAGCTCCCTGACAACTAAAGCAGGATCCCTCGATGATGCTGTGAGCGTGTCCCCTCCAGAAGCTGGAACTGCAGCACAGAACCTCCTGCTGCTTTGCAGCGTCAAGGGTTCCCTCCCTCAGTCCCCCCCTGGTGCCCAGGAGATGAGGACGGCGAGCTCCCCAGTGGCTGAGGCAGGATTTCCATCCATCCATCCCTGCATCCATCCATCCGATGAGCTTTGAGCATGGCCCCTCCAGGAGCTGGAACCGCAGCACAGAACCTCCTGCAGCTTCGTGCAGCTTCAAGGGTTGCCCCCATCAACCCCCTTCCCCCTGCCAGGAATTCCCCCGGTGCCCCAAGGACTGCCTCTCAGATGCCCTCAGGCTGCCAGCTCTGTCCCGGCGGCAGCGCCGGGCACTCTGGCAGTGGGGCAGGGGAGGGCGCTGGATTCATACTGCCCCAGAGCATTGTGATGCTGCGTGGCCGGGTGCCGGCATTATGACGTGGGGGTGACGGGGCCCCTGCAGCCCTGCCCACGGCAGCCCTGCTGCTGCCCCTTCACCCAGCATCCCATGGAGAAAGGCCTTTGGGCTGCTGGCCCCGAGGCTGTGCCTGTGCCCAGAAGGCCCAGGAGATGTCCCTGCCCATGGTGGCCACACACTGGGCATCGCTGCAGGGTGTCCCTGTAAATAAATCTGTATGTTCATACTGTATCCGTAAAGGCTTTTATACCCCGTACAGTCATTTGAGTGTGGCGATCCCAAAGGTGAAAGGAAAGGGGTTTGGGTTCCATCTGCATGAACTTTGCAGAAACATAGACAGCATGCAGCATTTCCTCACCATTCCTCATCAATACACCAATTGGCATTTGTTATTACACTGCCTATGGTGAGGTCTCGGAAAGGAGAATTCAAGAAATCTCTTCTGCATTTGTTACACGGGGCAACGCTTGTAGCAGAGAGTGTTTAGATATTTACTTGTGTTTGTTAACATTCATGTGTCTAGTTTGGGGGTTTACCTCTTGTCCTACTACTTGAATGCAACACCTCACTGATTGCTGCTTAATTCCACGTGCAATCCTACACCTGCGTCAGAACAATCCCAGGGACAGCTACAGGTTGGGCAGAGAAGAGATCCAGAGCAGCCCTGCGGAGAAGGACTTGGGGATGTTGGTTGATGAGAAACTGACATGGTTAAGAGTGAGGTGTCCCTGCCCATTGCAGGGGGGTTGGAACTAGATGATCTTAAGGTCCTTTCCAACCCTAACTATTCTATGATTCTATGATTTTATTAGCTGGAAGATTCAAATAAAAATACAATACTAATTTACCATTAGCTCGAGCCATATATAAATTTACTGTATCCACTCTTACATATAAAATGATATAGCATAGGAATCTACTTGTTGAAATCTACATTGAAACTAATGTGATTTCAATATGGCAATCTGAGTTTTGAAGTTGCTTCTAATACAGTTCTGTGTTAGTGGAAAATTATAAACTTGAATCAATACAACTTATTGAAGCCAAAGCACTGGAGAATATGTAGGTATTCAAGAGTATGAAAACTGGAATTAGAATCACAGTCATTCTCTAATTGCATTATTAAAAACAGGTCCACAGTTTCAATGTATTGGGAAGAACTGCTTCCATTGCAAAGTTAAGCATCCAGGGACATTCAAAGTAAAACCAAATAAAGATCACGTTAGTATATTGCATGCAAACAGATGTACCCAGATAAGAGGCTGAGCTGAATGTGCATTCAGTTTTGCTTCATCAGTGACGACATCCATTGATCCTGTACTAGGCACAGAATTGTATCTAATTAAGCAGCTGAAATAGGAAAACTGCATTGTGCCAATCCACTTGCAAGCACTTGAAAAGACACTAAGAGTAAACTACACTATCAAGTCTAGAGATAGGCCGTAGACAGCTCCAGCTGTAGAACACTTCAACCATTAGAATACATGCTTATGTTCCACTCAATAGCCAAATAAACACAGAATTTCTATCTTGATGTCTGTCAGTAACTAAACTCATGTGTGTTTATGCTCTAGCTCAGAAGTGGAGAATCTCTGAATGACTTTTAAAGTGTAGATGAGAACAAAGATGTAGACACAGGAATGGGTAGAGAAAGGAGCTTATATTGCTTTAGAAAGCCAAGGGTCTGCAGAAGTATTGTTTGGGTGCTGGCCTACGAAGGAGATGAAACCGGCAGTACAGCGAGAGTTTCAGGTAGGATTGATCTGTAGGACAAAGAAAAATTCTCCTGCCTAGCACATTGTTTCTGTGTGGCTGTGCTGTCAACCTACCTCTGAAGGAAGCTAAGAACTTTAATTCATATCATGGAAGAAGAGATGCACTGGTACTGGCTTTGCCATGCTTCCTTCCATGCTATCTTCTTATCCATGTTCTGGGTAGGAAGAGGGCAATCACAAGGGCATGAAAGGGCACAGCAAAGGGTTCTGCAAAGACCAGGTTGTCTGATGTTTTTCTTCTGGCATTCCAGTACATCAGTATATAGAAAGGTCAGGAAAGGTAGCCACAGAACAGCAAAGTATGTGTGCTTACAGGGCAGTGCAGGTGCAGCTGATCATGATCTCATATTCAAAAGAAATATTCTAGAGTGCTTCCACCTTCAAAATCTTTCTCCTTTTCTTTCAGAAATATCATTAGTCTAAGATTACAACAACAGTCATGTCTGACTTAGAAATGCCCCTATTGCTTTTATCTATCCAATAGGATAACTTTGCATAAGTCTTGCCGCAGCAGAACTGGACAATAAAATGTAGTGACAGCCACAGATTCCTACTGAATAGGTGGAGAAGTGGCATCTGGAAGCCTCTGAAATGGCAGACTTCAAGGTCAAAGCAACAGAACAACTACACACAACATACATACAGTGCCAGCAAAGAAATGACATTATGCCAAGCAGCAAGTCACGGGTACAGACATAATCAGCATACATCCTAAGCATCCTAAGCAAAGTTAATGGAAGTTTCTGTGGAAAAATTATCATCAGAGAAAATTTAACTCCAAAAAGCAAAATAAGTACATTTAAGTAAATAAGTCTCATGTTGAAGTAGGGCAGTGCCAAAATGATCAGTCAGAGGAGATGAGTAGGGGCAGGAGGTGGCAGCTTGCCATCCAGCAGTAGGGTTACATAAAAGTGCTGCTCTGTGCTTTGGGTTTTCTATGAGGTTTTTATGGGCACTTATGTGCCTAATTAAAAAAGATTGTGAAAGACACCAAAATGGGAACACTCTTCTAGGCACACTTAAGTAGGGGCGGAGAAACCGTAAAAAAAAGAAAAAGAAGATTGCAGCTGATGTCTTCTTAAGCCACAATCCTGGGACTCTAAAATGGATGCAATCTGTCCTCCTGTTTCTACATTTCCTTTTCATTGATGGCAACTCTGCCAAATCACAGGAGAAAGTTAATAGCAAAAAAGATCATCTGTTTCTTCCAACTGGTTTGTTGAGTACTTTAAAAATTGGCAGCTTGGAAATGTTTCAAGCCAGAAGGAAAAATATTCATGTATCCACACATCAAAGTGTTTCTAAAGACTGAGCATACCTAGTTCTGAACATTTCTCAGGTGATCAAAAGAAGTGCATTTCTAAGACGCTGCTTACAATATAACAGGCAGTAGGTCAGGGACCATAAAACTCATTGATCAAACTGAAGCATTGGTTTTACAGCTAAATGAGAAGCAAAAAGAGTTCTCAGGGGGGCAGAGAGCAGGAGGAAATATTAGGTGAGGAAATTACTGGCACTATAAGCAGAAGAAAGGGAATCCTGCTAAAAGAGAAGAGTTACAGTAAGAAAAAGAGCTGTATAACTAAAAAAGAATAAGGGAGAGGAGGGGAGAAAAGTTAGAGAGGGTTAAATAGCAATCTGCATGAGATATTTTTTATTATTGTTTAAACTCAAGGCATTATAAGGTATATGCAGATGGAATTAAGTGATCTTTGGAAAAAAATAAGATGTTTATATAGGGATGATTTGCCCTGCTTTTTGCCGTTGCATTCTAATTAGAAAATTGAGATTCAAATTAATTTGATTGTTTAATTTTAATCCAGCAAACCTGCTAACTATCAAATTTTTATGTATTTGGAATACTGTGCCTGGTCTGTCTTTCATATACTGCTTGCTATGCTCTGCACTGAGGGGAATCTCACCCAAATGCTTTCTTAGGGAGACAACAGCTGGTTTCACAGTTAGCATCTAATACATTCTGAGAAGGCTCCCTTACCTCTCTCTAGCTTACATTTCCAACATAAAGCTGTAAGGTATGGGCCCCACAGCAGTAGCCAGTATCCTGTACATACACAGGACATCGTTTTGGAGTCCTCCTCTTCTGTAATCTGGGTGTCAGCATTTAAAGCCCTCACACATTCTTCAGGACTTTATAAGACATGTTAGAGGATATGAAACAGGTGGCAAAATGCAGATGCGCTAACTTTGCCTAACAGTTGTGGCAGTGTGCTTCACCTCCCAACCTGAACTTTATTGCCTGTAACTCTGCTCAAGTGATAATCACCAGTCGTAATGGATGCATGTGGTTGTGGTGGCTGCATCCAGTCAAAGTGATTATGGGGGGAGGTAGATAACAACACAATAGTCAAAGGCTAATCTGAACAATGTGCACAGGCGCCCCACCCCACCCAACCATAATCCTGATCAAGGTCCAACTCAAACCAAGTTTGGAAAAAACCTGGCTTCTCTAATCAGCAAGCAAACATGACTAAGAGTCAACTATCTCACTCCATGAACAGCGGACGGCCAAGGGCCCATTTTGCCCTCCTGCATGGCAAGCGGGCTGCACATCCCCTTGAGTATGGAAGCCTATCAAGGTTATTTCTTCAGGTTGAGAGATTCTTTCCACAACAGATTCTCAGTAAGTGGATTCATAGCATGATAAACTTTGAAATCTTAGCTAAGTGATACAATGATTGATTGTGCACATGTAATCCTTTAGACATCAACTGCTGATGAAGTCTGGGACTAAGTGTAGATCTAGCCACACCTAGACTCCTCTCTGAGATGAACTTAGAGAGCAAGGGGGTCCTTTCTGAACCTCATGACTCAGTGGGAGGGTCTCCCTAATAGTTTTGTTTGACCCTGTCCTCTATGTAGTAAACACTCAAGTGTCCCTTGCCATCAAATCTTGTTAAACCACTGTTGCATTTATTATCAATCTTTGTTAAATTGCTGTTTTATATCAATAAACATATTGCTACTTCTTTCTTACGAGTGAAGTGTGTCATTGCATCCCCAACAACAGTCCTGCACTTCGCAGAGTGGATCAGCCTGTAGTGAAATAATACAGCATTAGGTGAAGCAATATTTATAGGTCTGTCCCATGCAGCCACCCAAGGAAACAGACATAACAGAATTGTATTTATTACCAGATTAGTCTCTTTTCTTCATAATAATGGAAATAGCCTGGAAGTGGGATAGAAGACAGAAGCCTCATTGACTTGATCTCCTATGAGAGCCATGCAGCAGATTTGCATTGCTCCTCAGCATTCCACAAAGACACTTTAATTCATGAGTTTGAATGGTTTCACAATGCAAATGTTGAGCTCCAAAATGAGCAAAGTGAAACAAGTAGTAAGGACCTGCAGCATCAGCAATCAAAAACATAACTGACACTGGAACTGTGTCAGTACATTAAGAAACACAGAGAGAGTTGAGCGTCAGCTCTGCTAAGAACCACATGACAGCATACCATGTTTAGCTTTCATTACCAGCTGCACTGGCAATTTATTATTTCTTGATAAACATTGTTTTCATAACTCAGGCACTGCTCCTCAGACAACACTCAATTTTGTTGCCTTTCTATAATAAGGAGATTTTAAAACATCAGAAACCAGTCTAAAAGCAGTCAGAATAGATCAGCAGAAAGAAGCTGATGAGCTCAGCTTGGGTTTCTTCTTTGCACTGGCTGCAGCAATGATGCTCAGAGCACCACACAATTTCTTAGAGCTTTTGTGCAGGTGAGAAAAGGTACCAGAAGCAGCACAAGGTAACTATTACAGCTAATGCACTGCTAATGAAGAAGAAGGCCTCTAGAGTGAGATACAGAAATTGATCCAAGCCAAACATTTTGAATCCAAATTGCTCCAAATGTGATATGGGTTTTGTTCAGACTCAGTGGTTTGGGAAGTGTTTGCCCCTAGATGGCTAATATTAGGAAACTAAATAATCAAGAAGAAACTGGTCTGTGATGAATTTTGTGCAGCTGCCCACAGGTAGACACTGCTCATACATGTGAAACAAACAGACTGAACAGGGAAACAAGATCTTGGACATACATAAAGCATTGTTTCCTTTCATGAGGCTCTTCTTTTTCCAAAGGTGTATGAGTAGATGCATAATAATGATCCTCCACTCCATCACAGTAGAGCTTCAGTGGATTTCAGAGGATTTGAAATTTGGGATGATATGAATAATTGTGGTGGTCAGCAAAATTCCAGTAGGACACAACAGGTGTAGTAGAGATGAGAACACATATGACATATACTAAAGCACATTCTGGTCTGTACAGTTATCAAAACTGCACAGCTAAAGCTGGAACAGTCTTAAATGCACAAAACTATTGTGTGCATTTATGCTTTTATTATTTGTTCAGCTTAGAACATAGCACAAGGCACAAGAACTACCAGGCATCAGATATACCTCATATCCTACCCTGGCAACCCTTGTCACTATTTCCTCCAGCTGAACATTGGTCTCAAGCATACAGTTGACCTGCAGAACTGCTGTCCTCATCTACCAAGAGTAGTGTGATATGCGGAAGAGAAAAACAACATGATACTTCCTATTTGCCATCTCATAGCTGATGGGTGTGCAGTGGGGGGAAAAAAAAAAGCAACCCCCATCTCCAACCCAAAGACACTTGAGAAGCTTATGTGGTGACACCAAGAGCCAGCAAAAGCAGCAGCATCGTTACTAATACTGCCCCCAGGCTCTCCTAGGATCATCTTCTCCTTCCCCCTTTTAAGGCTGTAGTCATGTTTTATGCAGCTTCCTGCATTTCTCCTACATGATCTGAAGCAGAATATATTGAACATGCTACAGTTTACAACATCCACATTACCTGCAAGCATGAAAAAAAGCCTGTTTTATACATTCACTATGTGCCTTGCATGGAGAACAACAAAACTGGACAGTAAAAGAGGCTTTTTTGATTCAATATTTGTAAAACACTGACTCTCAAAGATTATCTTTAAATGCTGGGGATGCAGAGCACTGTAAACCAACATTCTGTCTAGGTCTGATTTGATGTAAGCTTGTGACAGAACAACTAACACATGTGGGCAGAGCCATTTCTGCACAACATTGACTTTTTATTATGCATATATCCAAAGTTGGGTCTAACGGCCATAACCATGAGCCTTGATCCCAGAACATGAGACCTGCCACCATGTTCTATTTGCTACTTGAGAAGGCTTTGCTCCATAGAACCTGTCTGTTTAGCTAATCTATGCTGCTGCGAACACAATTCACAGACCAAATTCAAACCAACTGACAATAGGACAAGACAAGCATCAAGAATTTCAGATGTCTTTAACATGACATTGAATATTTTTCACCACCAACAGTTCTTTCAAATTTTACATGTATCAGAGCAATACAGGACAAAGCAAATAGGTATGAAAGTCCCGCAGTATTAACAGACCGATGAGATCCATCTCCCTCTTTGCTACCTGTCTCACCTCAGGAGGAGGAATATGGGATATAGCTCTGTCTGTCCCACCATTGTTCTTAGCATCAAAACAGACAGTGATGGGATAAAAACTAGAGCAGATGTTCCTTTCTGATATTTAAATCCACAAAATACGGGAGGAAGCAGGTGAATGGAATGGAAATTGCATTGTCTATTGCCTGGTATATGTCTTATGTTCTGTGGCCCACATATGCACAGCTGGTGTAAAGGCTTTCCAGAGGGGACAGGAATGTCTACACCGATACATTATCCCTGTTGTGAGATAGGAAAAAAGCCAGGCTCTGGACCTGTCAGACCCTACTTCCTCTGTGGCATTTTAAATGAAACAATTTTTCACTCTCCGAGTCCTTGTAAACAAGTTTTATAGTGCTTTCAACATGAGTCTATCACATGTTGGGGAAGAACTGCAAGTGTTTAGGATTTAAACCCTTTTCTCAGAAGATGAGGCTGGAAGAACAAGTAAAGGCTTTATCTTTAAAAGCTTTCAGAAACTTCCAAAACAAAGTTCTTGCATTTATCAGCACAAGCTGCCATAAGACACCTGGTGAACAAACTGCTTACTCAAATGAGAAAAGCTCAAATGAAAAATAAATACAGAGCTTTAAAGTTCCCTCATCCATCTTTCCATCTATTTATTTCCTCTGTTCATAACTGGAAACACTTCAGGCACAGACCTGTCTTCATGTCTGCACTTAGCACCTAATCCAAAGTACACTGCCATCAATACACCTGCTTTTGTACTTCTACAAATTTAGATTAGATCTTACATAAATACCTCTATATTGAGAAGCTCCTGGCAAAATATTTGGAAGCTTTGACTCTCTGAACTTTGCACAATTAGTGCACAATAATCCTAACTGCTACCACCGAGCTAGGTTTCCCACCTCTCTCACTGCCCTCCTATCTATATATGTGCCATCGAAGTGTCCCCGTGAAACTCCTTACAGAGGAAAGAGGCAGTGACTGTAGGTTCAGAGGATTTCAGAGCTCGGCGTGAAGCATGGAATAATGCATCTCCAGCCAAAGTCCAGGAACCTGTTGTGGGGTTTTACAGCATGCAAACCTAGATAGAATCTGTCCTGCTGAATATTTCTTTGAGAGCTTCTCATCTGAACTTTTATTTATGTAATTATAATATTGTATTGGAAAATCCAGTAAGAATTTTGAACTCCATACCCAAATACTGGAAACGTCTGGGCAAGACTGGGAGGCAAATGTCTTTTTCCATAGTTAGCTTCTCAGACACTGAATGGAGAAGCAAAATCCAAGTGGCTGCCGAACTGCAGTTTGTGTCCACGGCTTGCAATTCTACGAGAAGTGAATCAAGGTAAGCATCAAGGGCACAAACTCAACCGCACTAAAATCAATGCAAAAACTCCTGCTGACCTTGAGCAGTCCGATTTGAGGATATTCTGGGAAGAGCGTATTCTCGTTTAGTGGGAAAGAAGCATTCCTAGTGTGACACCTAGTGTCAGCAACAAATACCTTACAGACCCGTTAAACACAGCAAAACAAGGAAACAAGTCAACTGTACTGAAAAGTAGCAAAAAATACAAGAAAACATTTTAAATATGAACTAACATCTAACATACAGAAAATTCGGGGCGGGGGAGGAGAGCTTGTTTCTATAAATAAATCCAATAAAATACATACTGGTCATCCTCTCTATTCAAGCCTAACTCAGACCTGATCATTTCTCTGGTCACCTCAGTGTATCTAGCTCTCTGGACTCTGCTTATACAGACAGTCCGGTTTTATGGAGTATTTCGGGTATCACTGCGGGATGCAAACCCATTCCTGCTGGCTTGAAAGAACACAAAAGAAACTATAGTGAAGCAGACTTTACAGGTCAATACACTGACTTGAGCTATCGCTGCACTTGTCCTCACTAAACAAATTCAAAAAGGAAGTAAAGATAATGCAGGGATTGTAAGGTGATTTTCAAAATGTTAAATTCTCTTCAAAATCAAGTTACTGGCACCTCAAGAAAGGTGTGGAAAAATGCCTCTGAAATGATTCTTCACATCAGCAATTCAGGAAAGCCATTAATTCTTAACAGTAATTACAATTGATTATTAACCAAGGTCTGGCACTTTTAGGCCTAGATATACTATAAATATGACTTGTTACCTTAATTATGCTGACAGGTTACCTTTTTACCTTACTCTTTCTGCTTTGTCTTTAAGTTCCACAGCTTTACTGATGCTCAAACTCAGGGGATACCAGTCTGAAAGTGCACTTCATCACTGCTGGTAATTTATAACCAATTTGTGGTAAATGCAGGCCTAATACAAAAGGAAGTATAAGATGTGAGCCAAATTTTTGCAAACTGAAGGCAAATCTTGAAGTCAGGAATGTGAAAGTTGATTAACAGCTGCATTTCCTGACGCAGCAAACTGCAAACTTTTATTCCAAGGAGCAAATTTCTAACTAACTTTTTCTGCAGGTAGGAATGATGCTTTGAGCAGGCACAGTGACATTCACTGCCATCTCCTGGAAATGCCTTGAAGGTACTCACACTGGAGGTATTCAGAGCACTGTCAGTAACGTACCAGTGTTAAACCTTCAGGGGAATCACTGATCTGATGCCAGTTCTTTTATAGAACCAAAACTTCCTTCCAAAATAGGAATTTTCCCAAAGTTTCTACTTTTATAGAATAAATTTTCCCACAAAAGATGACTGCAATGACAAGTCCCTGTGTACTTATACGCGTGTTGGCCCAATTGCTGAACAACTGTACAGAAAGCTCTTACAACAGCAAACTTTATCCTATTAATAAAAGTTCTATTGAGAAAAGAACCTGTACAAAAGCTCATTCCTGTGATTATATTGATCTGACTGTTTTATTTTATGTACAAATGTATTTAGAATGCAGCACAAGCAGCACCCCCCTACAATATTGCTAACAAGCATCATACAAAGAGAAAGAAGCAAAATATATATAAAATTTGTAAGTTACATACATTAAATGCACATATATGAAAGTAGACATTTTTAGCTTCCTCATCATCAGGTCATTATTTCCTCATTAGCTGACTAAGTTCTTGTAGGGATCACGATTTAAAAAGGCCTGGAGGAGTAAGTTCAAGGAAGCTGTTCTAGACACAAAAGTCAAGGCTGCTATTAAAAGTCCTAGTACAAAGGAGCCTATGGACATAAAAATCTATCTGCCCAATGTATTAAAAATGGCAAGAGCAAAAGAAAATCTCATGTCCTGGAATTGCAAAGAGCTCATCTCTCTTGCACTAAGGTAAACAGATAGATACCACACGAGATCATGGTGCCCTTCTGCTAGGGTCCTTTACCACACAACACACAGATCCTCCTCACGGATGTGGGTGCCTACAGCTAAGAAGAGCAAACCAAAATCAGGATGTAAAATGTACACACCATCTACTGCTGACAGCCTGTGAGGAGTCCACCAAAATAATAAACCAGCCCCAGAATCTATGTCTTTTCAGTATACCTTAGCATGAAATTGTGCTTTCCCTCTGTAGAGCCACATGGGTTAGGGAAGCCATGCTGGTAGCGTGTCCCAGGAGTCTTATTCCCAAGGACTGGAGAGAAGACCAAGAAGGTGGAACAGGTGTTGGGTATCTTCACAAATAATGCTGATTCCCCAACACTGACAGAGCTTTCCATTGCTATATCAAAGTGGGGATGTGAGAACTTTTGCCTCCTTCACTGTTCTCATCACTTCAGTGTTAAACAGGTCAGGAAATTTGTAAAGTAGAGGCATAAAGAGATTTATTTTTACTTGTTGCTCCCAACAGTTCTTACTTCAGGAGGCTGTGATTCCAGCCAAAACCTTTTATATAACTGTAAGAGAACCACACATATTTGGTTGTGGAAGTTGATTTTTTTTTAAGGCTATTTTAATTGGAAGTGACTTTGAAAAAGAACTCTCAAAATATTTTCAGTAGGTTTAGACTTACATCTGCATGTGAGGATGCTCAGCAGAAATTCATTTTTCCAATTTATTAGGAAACTGCTGGTAATCAATAAGGTGTTTTATGCCTATTTACATTTAATGCCCACTGCCTAGGCAGTGTGGAACACATGTGCTCTTTAATTATGGTTACAATAGATTTATTCTGCTGCAACATTGAGTAATCAGTCATCTGTTACCTTCATGAATCTGCAAGATTTCTGCGGCTAGTAATGAAATCACAGAGCAGAAAAATAAGTTTGCAAAAGGGTTTGTATTTTCTCTATAAGTTTGTTATCAAGATTGTGAAAGGTAAATGAATCCTACTTGAAAATTTTCTCTCAACTACTTCCATAGGTGTCATCTAACAGAGCACAGTCAATGCAGTTTTTGAATGCTTAGATGCAAACCTAAACTGCAAACAGCTCAAATTTCACTTCAAAATCTACTTTACAATAGATAGACAGTATTTTAAAGCAGAATATTTCTTTTAAGAGGGCTTCTTCTTGGAGAAAACAAAAGAAAGGGTTCAGTCATAGAGGGTCTACGTCAGCAATGTGAAGGAGGAAGTTATTTAGAAAGCATACATGCACTGGTAGTGAGTAACCACTTATACTGCTTAGTATATACAATGACATACATCAAACCCCTTACTCATGAACTCGGTCTAACACAGGCTGAGATATTTTCATAATTTTTTTAGACTCACTAATTAAAATCAATGTCAAAGCTCTAACCAAATAAAGATGCTGCATCAGGTCCCTAAACCATATGCTTAGTTATAAGAGCTGTTTAAATCTCACAAAGTGTTCTTAAGAACCCACATTGTGGGTGCAGAGTTCAGCCCACCGATTGAAATATAAATATTCCTGATATTCTTCCTGATATAAATATTGTCAGGAAGAATTGAATATATATTTTACTTTTCCATATAGGAATTCAGGAAAAGGGTTTATACAAAAACACCATTCTGAGAAATGGCCTAAAAGTTCTGTACTTTCCAAAATTATCTTTTTAACTTTTAAAAGCATTTTAGTTATTCTTTCCAGATACTCTTATTCCCCAAACCTGGTACTCATCATGAACAATTTTGTCCCTTCCCAAACAGATTTTTCCAGTTAATTTACTTTTAAATGAAAACAGTTATCCAGTTCTACTGGTGTTCTAAACAGGCACCAGTATGACCTTTCAAAATACAGAGGTTGATTCCCAAAAAGTTTGAAGTACAACTGTCAAGAGCAGAGCTCAGAACCTATAAATCAGAGCTAAGAACTAAAACTTTGTCCAGATCACTACAGGAAACTTGGCATAAGGCTGACTAATGTCATGTGTATATTGCTTAATAAAAAGATTTTGTTGATTTAATAGTATGGAGTTACTTTAGTACTGCTATCATGTGTTTGTACTCCCTACTTATGACCCTGGATGCTGTCAGCATCCATGATTCAACATAGTTTTCTCTGAAGGTTCGAATTCGGACTTTGTGAAATGTTCCTCTGATAGCACTAGTTCCTTCTTCCTCAATCTCAGAAAAATCATTTTCTAGAAAACTTTGTGAAGCCCCAAGATTAAGAAGAATCAATTTAAATGGAAATGGGCAAAAACATTAGCATTCTTTAATTTCTTGCTTTCTCAAACACATGGAGTTATACTGCATACCACTATTCCACACATAAATGTGGAACAGTTCAAGAGGAAAACCTCAAAGGATTTCCAACTGTTGCTTTTCCTGTATGGATCATTTTTGTTGGATGTTTTGGTACATCTGGATTAACATCAGCAGCTTGATAGTAATAGGATTTTAGTCTATACCTGCTTGATGAGTCAAATGCTGCTTCTTTTTGCACTGCTGAAACTATGAAACCACCCAACAATTACATTCCCCCAGGACACATCAGAAACTGCCCATCTGGTTTGCTGGTTAACACTCTGGTGTGTGTCCTGGAACAAGATACTTAAAAAAAAGCCCACTTAAATTCCAGTTGTCAATTTGGGCAAGGATACAGTCAGAACTGTCCTGCCCCAGTACTAGTCCCAGAATAGTGTGCCAGATGCATCTGCATTACTCCATGGGCAGTAGTCTTTGCTCACCAAAATGCTGTCCAAATTTGTTGCATGGCCTGTAATGAATGCTTCAACAGTACTATGTACTTTCCATCTGTTCTGCAGCTTCTTTCTTTGAGGCAAGGGTGAACAAGTAATTTTTCAGCTTTCAGAGGAAGTCATGCAACAGCCATGGAAGAGAGACTTTCTACATATTATGGATCTGTGAAAGGACTATCCACAGTTTAGCCCAAAATAGCTTCATATTGATTACTTGCAATTTTCAAGCTACTATTTAATACACTAGTTTTGCCCCACTTTTGTACAACCTGTCTCTACCACAGAGATAAGAATATGCAAAACATCTTTAATCCTATACCAGAAGCTTAAATGGAGCAGGAGCATCCACCTCAGACTTGTCTCAATGGTAGAGCCAGCCACCTGTCCTTCACAGAAACAATTATTCATAAAAGAAAAATTAAACGGATGCTGACTGAGAGTTTGCTTAAGCTAATGGTGAGATTGGACATTAGTGTAACTAATGGTAATAGGCCCTCTACATAAGTTACATGCTAATAGTGCTCCAGCTGCTTTGGCTTTCCAGAAACCAGTCAGCTAGCTAAGAATTACTTTTCTGGTCCTTCTACAATTAATCTCTGTTGAATGAAATAACAAATGAAAATTATGAGCAGTTCTGAAACTTGGCAGGGGGAAAGGGTATTACTATGGTTGGGTTAAGCACTAAAGGACACTTATAATCACCTTGTCTGTTTAGAATTCAAATAATCACTTACCGACTTCTGAAGACTTACACTTAACACTGCATTCACTTGAAACAAGGACCTGATATGGCAGTTCTCATTCAGCAAAAGGCTACTGTAACATGCAAGTTGTATAATGAACATGGCAAATAAACATGATTATCCCCGAACTCCTGTGCAGTTATTAACCAGACTGGTCAAGGAGGCTTTAAACTAGATGTGTTGGGGGAGGGGGGCATCATTCCATCCCAACACACCCAGTCAGTTGCCAGGACCTATAATAAATGCTCGGAGCAATGTAGAGATATTCCAGCCGCTCCAGCCAATGAGCCAGCTTCAGTTGGAGCTCGGCTCAGATGCCTCTATAGAAATGCCCATAGCATGGGGAACAAACAAGAGGAATTAGAGATGTGTGCACGTCTACGGGGGTATGATATAATAGGCATCACAGAAACATGGTGGGATGGCTCCTGTGACTGGAGTGTTGGAATGGAAGGTTACAGGCTCTTTAGGAAGGACAGGCCTGGCAGGCGGGGAGGGGGAGTTGCCCTTTATGTTAGGGATAGGCTGGAGAGTGCAGAACTGTCTGAGGGCAGGTGAGCAGTTAAGGGAGAGTTTGTGGGTCAGGGTTAAAGGGAAAACAGCTATGGGAGACATTACTGTGGAGATCTGTACAGACCGCCTGATCAAGGAGAACCTGTGGATGAAGCACTCCATAGACAGATAGGAAAAGCCTCACGCTCACAGGCCCTTGTTCTCATGGGCAACTTCAACCACCCTGACATCTGTTGGAAGGACGGTACGGCCCAGCACAAGCAATCCAGGAGGTTCCTTGATTGTGTGGAAGACAACTTCCTTCTGCAAGTAATAGAGGAGCCGACAAGGAGAGGTGCCATGCTTGACCTCCTGCTCACCAAGAGAGAAGGGCTCATTGGAAATGTGATGCTCCAGGGCAGCCTTGGATACAGCGATCATGAGATGCTCAAATTTGAGATCCTCAGGACAGTGAGAAGAGTGTGCAGCAAGCTCACTGCCCTGGACTTCAAAAGAGCAGACTTTGGCTTCCTCAGGAACCTGCTTAGTAAGGTTCCATGGGACATAGCCTTAGAGGGCAGGGGGGCCAAGACTCTTGGTTGATCACCTGCTACAAGTTCAGGAGTGTTGCATCCCAACTAGAAGGAAGTGCAGCAGGAGGGCCAGGAGACCTCCTTGGATGAATTACAGATCAATCAGTCTCACCTCTGTGCCTGGCAAAATCTTGGAGCAGATTCTCCTGGAAGGCATGCTAAGGCACATGAAAAACAACAAGGTGCTTGGTGACAGCCAGCATGGCTTCACTAAGGGGAAATCCTGCCTCACCAATTTGGTGGCCTTCTGTGACGGGGCTACGGAACTGATGGACAGGGATAAAGCAGTTGATGTCATCTACCTGGACTTGTGCAAAGCGTTTGATACCGTCCCACACGACATCCTTGTCTCTAAATTGGAGAGACATCAATTTGATGGATGGAGCACTTGGTGGATAAAGAACTGGCTGGATGCCAACACGCAAAGAGTTGTGGTCAATGGCTCAATGTCCGGCTGGAGACCAGTAACGAGTGGCGTCCCTCAGGGATCGGTGTTGGGACCGGTCTTGTTCAACATCTTTGTTGGTGACATGGAGATGGGATTGAGTGCGCCCTCAGCAAGTTTGCTGATGACACCAAGCTGTGTGGTTCAGTTGATACCCTGGAGGGAAGGAATGCCATCCAGAGGGACCTTGACACGCTTGTGAGGTGGGCTGATGCCAACCTCATGAAGTTTAACCATGCCAAGTGCAAAGTCCTACACCTGGGTGGGAGCAATCCCAGGCACAGCTACAGGTTGGGCAGAGAAGAGATTCAGAGCAGCCCTGCAGAGAAGGACTTGGGGGTGTTGGTTGATGAGAAAATGAACATGAGCAGGCAGTGTGGCTTGCAGCCCAGAAAGCCAACTGTATCCTGGGCTGCATCA